AGGTTACTAGAGGATAACACTGTTCCTTTAAGCACCCATTAGGCTGTATTTTTTTTCTTTTCTTTCAGGCTTTTTTCCTATGACCCTGAGAGTCCACCCCACCCCGGTCTCTGATCATTCTGTTCATGTCCTATTTGGCCTTGTGAAAAAAAAGAATGAGTACTCAAATCTGAGTTTAGGTGATCAGTCATCTGGGCTAGCAGAGAGTGGGAAAGTGGTTATTCTGACATTCAGACCTAAATTTAATAAGATACTTTTCAGAAACAGGTTTGGAAAACAAAACTGCATGAAATGGAATTTGTTAGGAAATGTCATCTAATCACTTGATCACTTGACACCCTGTTACTCATTGATTTGCTCAAGTGGGCACCAGTAACGTCTCCATTCATCCCTGTCACATGCTAGTGTAGCCCAATAGCATCTGTTTACTCCAGAAACACGAAGAGACTCAAATCAATCGTCAGTGTCTTGACGAAGAAATCTGACCATCTCGTAGGTGAGCAGCCACACGATCTTTTCACGTCCCCTGAAATCTATTTGGTAATGGCTCTAGTCCAGCAGTTGTCTCCAAATCTCGTTATGTGTCCAGCCCATCTGAATTTCAACGCCTTGGCAAACGAGACAGCGTTCCTGATTTTCCATTGTTGACAGAGCTCAAAACTCCGGATTCTTTCTCTCACTTGAGTGAAGCATGATACTCCAAACATAGCTCTTTTGATTCCTTTTTGGGAGACCCAAATAACATTTTTACCCTGTTTTCATAGGGTCCAAGTCGCTGAAGTGTATGTTAATGCAGGAAGAATGGTGGAATCGAAGAGGTGTGATCGGAGCCAGAGATTTTTTTTGTCCTCTTAGCTATTTCTTTGATGCTCTTGAAGGCGTTCCAAGCGCTCTCTTCCTCCTGCCCAACTCAGGTGCCAGGTCATTTGTCATGTTGACTTCTCGACCTAGGTACACATAACTGTTGCATTCAGAGATGTTCATTCGATTGAGAGCGAAAGGAACATCAGGAACGAGTCAATTTCTCATAAACATTGTCTTAGTCAGATTTAGATGCAGTCCGACCTTTCCACACTCACAGTTGAAGTTGGCCAGCATTAGTGCCACTTGGCTAAGGTATGGTGTTATTAGAACAATGTCATGAGAAAAGCGGAAGTGTTGTAGTTGCTGACCATCTACCTTCAATCCCATTCCTTCCCATTCCAGTCGTCGCATGAGGTTCTCGCCCTGTTTGGCTAGGGCTTTGATGACCGCTTCGATCTCAGCACAATCAAAGGTCTTCTTTAAATCAATGAACAGGATGGGTGTTTGATCATTGTATAATTGAAACCCAAGCACAAAAATGTGTAAGTCTGCAACTGTACCTCATGATGTCTCGCTATTAAAAATTTTTATAATAAAAAAAGGAAAAAAATAAATCAATGAACAAGCTGCTTATTATGTACATGATCCAGGGTTAGGAATTACCTATTAAATGGGAAATTTGTGATATTACAAGACTGATGGGCTTGGCCAGAAGAATTTTAGGATTCACCTCCACTCCTTGACATCTATCACGAGAATGTAAAATCACCAATTCAAAAAGATATATGCACACTAGGTTGATTACAGCACTCTCTATAATAACCAAAATCTGGAAACAGGGCCTGGAATGATATAGTACAGTGGGCAGAGTGGGGAGGACCTTTGCCATGCATGTGGTTGACATGGCTTCAAGCGCTGGCATGCCACATGGTCCCTTGAGCACTGTCAGGAGTGATCCCTGAGCACAGAGCCAGGAATAACCCCTGAGCATCACTACTACGGGGGAAAAAATCTGGAAACACCCATATGTTTGAGGGATGAGTGAATAAAGAAGTTGTACTGTAGAGATACAATTAAGTATATCATCTGCTATAAGATGAAATTCTACCTTTTGCTAAAATTTAGAGAAAATGCAAGTGGATAATGTTAAGTAAGTTAAGCCAGTGAGAAGAGGAATGCTGAATAATATCATGCATATGTTGCTGACCATGTTGTGATATAAGAAACAAAGCAAGGGAATGCATATGGAGAATGAAAACAAATGCTTGGACTCTGACAACAGCATGAGGCTACCAAGTAGGGGAGGTCTGAGGGTAGTGATGCATGAGGCCAACTAGGAGTGATGTAACGACTGTAGTAGTGGGGTTTGGGCACTCTAATGGTGGTGAAGTGGCACTTAAGAGTTTCGGTGAAATGCTTCAGTGCTTTTTTGCAGCAATATCATAGACATTAACCCTACTGTGAAAACAATTACATTTAGAAAATTAGTTTACTCTGGCCAGTATTTGAACGTGAGGAAAGCTCTTGGAGGAATTTAGAAACTGTATTTCTTGGTTTGAGAGACAAAAAAAAAAACTCTTGTTCTATTTCATGATACAGAGACAAAAATGCTGCATGACATCACCAACTTGTGGAGTATAAACTTCTCAACTCGGTGGAATGGTGGTTGCCAGAAGCTGTAGAGGAAAAATCGGTGTGTCCAAGAAGTCCTAAAAAAAAAAAACATTTCTTCTGCAAATACATAATCTAGCAGATGAAATTAGGAGAAAATGGGGATGGCAAAAAATGCTCAACAGGTAACAGCAAGTTGCAGGTTTCACCCTTAATTCCATGTCAGCACTAAGATGGGAGCAGCCCACCAAACTGGGGATGTGGCTGGAAAATGAAACAATGCATTGATGTAGGGAAGTGGATACTGGTGAAGAGAGTGGAATTGAAACACTGTATTCCTGAGGGGTTGAAGTGATAGTACAGCCAGTAGGACGTTTGCGTTGAATGCGGCCTACCCAGGTTCGATTCCCAGCATCGCATGTGGTCTCCCGAGCACCATCAGGAGTAATTCCTGAGTGCATGAGCCAGGAGTAACCCCTGAGCATTGCCGGGTGTGACCCAAAAAAGAAAAAAAAAACACTGTATACCTGAAACCCAATAATGAACAACTTTATAATTTCACCATGACTAATACAAATTATTTTTTAAAAGGTGAAAGTTCAAAAAAAGTTTAAAAAAAGTTTGCTTTTTTTAAAAGCAAAATTCCAGGAATTTTGCTCCATGACTTGGAGGTCAGCCACATGTGCTAGGGGAAAAGGAAGCTCAGATAGAGAAGAGAGCACCAAATAAGGGTGTTGTGAGGATTCTCCCAAGATGGGAGAAGTATGCTGAAAGTAGACTATAGACCAAACATGATTGCCACTCAATGCCTCTCTTGCAAAACACAGGACACAAAAGAAGAGAGAGAGAACAAGGGGGAATGCCCTGCCACAGAGGCAGGGTGGGTTGGGGGGACAGGGAGTGGGAGGAATGCTGGGACCCGTGGTGGTGGAGGATGGGCACTGGTGGAGGGATGGGTACTTGATCATTGTATAACTGAAACCCAAGCACAAAAATTTGCAAGTCTATAACTGTACCTCATGGTGTTTCACTAATAAAAAAATATAATGATGGATAAAAGTGGTTTGAAAAATAAAAACTGATCACTATAAAAAAAAGAGTAACCCTAGAGCTCTGAAGACAAAGAGCCGTTTTATGAGACATTGATACAAGTGATATGGTCCACTAGGTATATGAAATGTTATTATTCATTTCAGATGTGAATGCTTTGTACACAACAAATATTCTGTCATAATACCAGCAAGTGTGGTACACTTTTCCTAATGGTGTTATTTTAAGAAAATAAGCAACATATTATTCAAGATTACACTGCTAGTATGTGGAGAGAGAATATTTGAGTTCAGACACACTAGATATAAAAGACTTCCTTCTAATACACAACACTTAATATAGTTTTTCTAAAACTGATAAATGATGGTCTTTTTGGGTAATTAATATACCACTAGGGACTCATTTATTCATCATTGAAATACTTAGTTCCCATACAGAAAATAATAAACAAAAGTGTTAAAAGGATCCCAGTATTCCTTCATGTTTTGTCAATTGCGAGGAAAACAGAAATTGCAATCTTATTTTTTTTGGTAAGCGTTGGGGGAAGAGGACAAAGTGGGGCCTCATTTTCTATTGCAAGAAGTTAAAATTATCAATAAAGATTCCTCCTAATGTAAACATAATAAAACCATGGAACATGGAAAAGTAAACATTCTATTAATGAATGACAGAGGTTCAAATGAAAAACAATTGCAGGTTACAACACCCACACAATTTTGTGAACTCACAGTAAACACTTTATTAATGAATGACATGTTCAAATAAAAAAAATTACAGGATAGTAAAGATGGAAGAATAATACAGGTTATGTTCTATTGGAAGCAACCAAAGCAAGCAATACTGGAGCCAGAGATGTAGTACACCAGATAGGGTGCTTGCCTTGCACATGGCTGACCTGATGGTCCCCTGATACAGAACAGGAATACTTCCTGAGAGCACAGTCAGGAGTAACTGCTGAACATTACTGGGTGGGGTTCCTCTCCCCCACCCCAAAGCAAATAATGTTACAATGAAGTTGTGAGGGTGTGTCGTGGTTCAAGAGGTTGGTGAGCACAAAGTCATTGGGCCAGAACAGTTCATAAGATTAAAATATGGGAATATTTTGTCAGTAAAGCAACACGAAGAAAATTTATGCAAGAGAAATCCATGGTTTGTGACATCATAAAACGAGACTGTGCGTGCCTCATAGTCAACAAAAACCCCAATACGATGGGGAGGAACAGTCATGGAAAGAGTCACCGCCCCAGAACTAGAGGCAGAAGTATTCACAAAAACTTTATTTTCAGAATAATTTTGTAACCCTATAACCCAGTAGTCAAATTGAGGTCCATGTATAGGGTGCTGTTTAATGATTACAGTTTTGGGGGCTACATCCATTTTGAATACTGAGGCTATCATAGGCCCAGAGGGAGATGGATAATTATTTTGTTGATTGAATAGAGAGGATGAAAATCCACAGCCAGATAAATTATTATTTTTTTGATTGAATACAGAGGATGAAAATCCAGTGACAGATAAAGAATTATTTTGTTGATTGAATTGAGAGGATCTAATTGATGTGATTTGACGTACACCCACCATCCATTCATGTTTGTTTGACACATCTACCTCCCAGTACCACTTTCCTGATTTGATAGCTTCAGAGCCCAGAACATAATTATCACAGCCACCTGTTGAAGAACCCAGCTGTGAACTCCTTTCGGGTACACATTTCACTTGTCTTCCATCCAAAGAAACGGCAATATCTGGTTTATTGTCAGGAACTTTCAGAGTCATCTGAACTGTAGAAAAATTAGAAGATTGGGTGAGAAAATGCTTTTATGTAATATTCTAAGAGGGATCTTGAGAATTATTTAAGTGGGAACTAGGACAAATTTTACTTTGTTCTTGGGGAGAATAACAATGCAAAACAATAATATATGCATTTTGAAGGGGAAATATGAGTCTTGAAACATGACGTCTACAAGAAAACAAAAAATTCGTAAATACTATGAGAACAGAATTTGATGATAATGTGATTTTTCCTTACCCCAGTAGCATTCAATATCTTTCAGTTCTAAAATGGAAAAATAAATTGTGTTAAATATAAGAAAAGGAGTCAGAACTAAAATTTATTTTCTCTGCAATTTAGATTATAGTGAGGTACTGAACTGTTACCTTAAAATAGAGCGCACCACCTGACCGCATCCCATTAAATAAACATATATCTAGAAGTAAATGGCCTCCACCATCTTGCTTTTGAATTTTTTTTTCTCAAATCACAGTGAGATAAGCAGTTTATCTCAAAGTTGTTCAAGGTGGGTTTCAGTCATACAATGTTCTAACACTTGTCACTTCCTGGTGTACATTTTCCACCACCAATGTCCCCAACCTCCTTGCTTCTCTCCCTACACCCATTCTACTTCTACAATATGCACTTCAGCACTTCAGCCTCCACTACTGTCTTTTAGTGTCTCTCTCTTTCAGTTTCTCTCTCTGTGTCTCTCTCAGTCTCTCTTTTGGGTCATTATGGTTTGTGTTACAGGTACACAAACCCTGTAATTTATATGATAACCCTGTGATACAAGATGATCACTGAAATAAATTCCTTTACCTACTTTCAGCACTCAATTCTTGTTCAGAGTGATTTTTTCCAACTGTCACTGTCACAGTATTCCCTTCTCTACCCTAACTGCCTTCCTTCTACCCCTTCCTCCCATTTCTGACAAGCTTCTAACCTTGGACCAGTCCTCCTGGACCTCATTTCTGTTGTCTTTGAGTGGGAGTCTTATACTGTGTTTTTTATATACCATTAAAAAATGCGATCATTCTATGTGTATCTCTTTCCTAATGACTCATTTCACTCAACATGATACTCTTCAAGTACATCCATATATTAATAATGACCGTGACGGAACATTTCTTTAAGAATAACTTTATTTTTCCTGGTGGGTTTGTTGTATTCCATTGTGCAGATGTATCATAGTTTCTTTATCCAATAGTCTGTTCTCAGGCACTTGGGTTGTTTCCAGATTCTGACTATTGTGAATAGTGCTGCAATAAACATAGAGTGCAGATGGCACTTTTGCTGTGTGTTTTTGGGCCTCCAGGATATATGTCCAGAAGTGGTATTGCTGGGTCACATGGAAGTTCAATTTCTAGTTTCTTGAGGAAACTAGAAAACAATGCCCTTATTGTTTTCCAAAAAGGCTGGACCACTTAAATTCCCAACAACAATGAGAGTCCCTTTATTCCTGCACACTCATCAGCACTGGTTGTTCTTATTCTTTTGACATGTGCCACTCCCTGTGGTGTAAGATATCTAGTTGTTATTTCAATTTGCATCTCCCTGATGACTAGTGGCCATCTTCCTCTTGTCTCCTCTGTTCTCAACTGGGAATTGAATCCTCTTCTCCATTTAGCACATACCACACAAATTCCACATTCATCAACTTAATCGACTACTCCTTACCATAAAATGCTTTCAGTATCCCACTCAGATCAGTAGCTTGAAATACTTTGCGACCTTCCAAGGGAAAAAATTTTGGCTTTGTCAGAGTCAAGTTCTCACTCCTAAGGGTGACAAAAACTGATCAGACTTCTGATATACTGTCCCTTCAAAAACACTGACTTGATTTATTCACCCTAATGATGCATTTAAAATCTCCTCCTGGAGACCAAGAGAGATAAAGAGAGTTCAGACTCTGAAGCTAGAAAAGCTAAGATCATTTCTACCTAGCTTCCCCAGTTGATATCTTGCGTAAACCTATAAAGACCTCTCAGAAACATTTCCCCTTCCAGAACAAATTAATTTCTTCTCTATCTTCTAGAATTCATGCTAAATAATGAATTTAGCAAACCAAGACAAAAAATGTGTGGAAAAGTCTCTGCTGGACGTGGCATTCAGAGTAGTGACAGAAAGTGAGGTAATAGAACCTGGCTCCTGGTCTGCAGCACATGAAGTGTAAGGATACAGGTTGGAAAGGATCAATATCTTCAAAATCAATACCCTAGGAGGGAAACTCTCAAAAAAACAACTTAACACTTTAGTTCTCTAAGGGGCTGGAGCAATAGCACAGTGGGTAGGGCGTTTGCCTTGCACGTGTCCAACCCGGGTTCGATTCCCAGTATCCCACACCCTGAGCACCGCCAAGGGTGATTCCTGAGTGCAGAGCCAGGAGTTACCTCTGTGCATTGACGGGTGTGACCCAAAAAGCAAAAGAAAAAAAAACTTTAGTTCTCTGAAAACAGCTATAAATACTTATTTAAAGTATAATCATTATAAGCTCATGTAGCTAAGCAATCTGGAAAGACCTGATGTTGCCAGGTTGGAATGCCAATGTGTAGTGTGCCCTTTCTTTGTATTTACTGCTCTTTCTTTGCATTTACATAGATATACATAAAGTATGTGACCGTGATAGATACTTCTTTGCAGCAGAGATAGTATATTTCTTGCTAAGCAGAACCTTACAGGAAAAGTTACTCTCTTCCATTCTCAGAAAAGAAATAAAAATGTGAGAGAGTTGGATCCAAAAGATAGTTGGGGGAAAAGCAGAGTGATAGTATAGTGTTTGCCTTGAATGTGGCAGACCCATGTTTGATCCTGAGCATGATTCCCTGAGCATGATAGAGTGAGCTCAGAGCCAGGTTTAAGAGCTCAGAGCTGGGGCTGGAGTGATAGCAAGGCGAGTAGGGTGTTTGCCTTGCACGCAGCCAACCCGGGTTCAATTCCCAGCATCCCATATGGTCCCCTGAGTATTTCCAGGAGTGATTCCTGAGTGCATGAGCCAGTAGTAGCATCTGTACATCGCCGGGTCTGACCCCCCATAAAACGAGCTCAGAGCTATAATTAAGCCCTAAGAATTAAGCCACAATTAAGCCCTAAGTTCTTCCATGTGTTCAGAACCCTTCACACACCCCCAACCCTCAAAATTATGGAAAATTTTTGGAGAGAAAATTCAGGGGATAAAATGCTTGCCTTCTTTCTACCACCCCTGGTTCAATCCAAATTGCTGCATTTGGTACTGAGGACTGTAAAGGGTGAGTCCTAAGCACAGAGCCAGGGAGTCCAAGGCACAACTCACTGTGGCCTCCAATAAACAAAAGAGAATATAAGAGAATGAGAGCAGGTGCAAATGGAACTAGAGAAGACAGAAATTGAATGATCTACATATGTTACAGACATCAGAGAGTTAAAGAGGCAGTAAAGGGGGGCGGAGCTACAGTGTAGCAAGCAGGGCATTTGTCTGGCACATGACCGACCTAGGTTCCATCTCTGAAATCCCATATGGTGCCCCGAGTACTGCCATAAGTGATTTCTGATTGAAGACCCTGGAGTAACCCCTGGGAATCGCTGGGTGTTCCCTACCCCCCCCCCCAAAAATTATAAAAATAAGAAGAGGCAGTAAAATGAAACACACACAAAACTTAGAACTGAACAAAATGAAAGACAGAAGGTGGCCAATAACTTTCATAAGGCTTAGCAGTCCCTGGATTTTATCCAGTCAAAAATTGTCAAAGCTGCTGAAGACTCTACTGTTACTAAGAATAGTGATGGGCGCCCTGGAATAGAGTCTTCTAAGAAGGAGGCAATGCCTGTAAATCTAAATCAGACTTTACACAGTTACAACAGCTGCTTCAAGAAGTAAACCAACAACTCTCAAAGGAGAAATAAGAAAGGGTTCGGAGTGAAGTGACTGGTAAGCTATTCAAAGAAAACAGAAGGCATTTTGCCAAATTTCAGCCTTGTTTAGGTTTTCACTCTTTCTACGTGGTCAAAAACACTGAAGGTTTGTCTTTTCTAATCCTTGTTAACCTATTGATTTAAGGAGAGAAAAGCCAACTCTGTAGACACCTCGAAAGTTTAGTTTTATAATAAAAACTGAATAATAATTAGACTTTTACATTCCTAAAGATAAACACATAATGTTTTATCTTATTTTGTTCAATAGAATTGTTCAGAAAATCAAAACTGGTAAAGACAATGGAAAATACAATAACACTTTAATGCTGATGTTGTACACTGTTTTCACAGTCAGAGGAGTAACTGCCTCTGACTTCAACTCAAGAAAACACCTTTTTGTTGCTAATGTATCAGTTTTTATAATGGCATCAACAAATAAAGGGATGATATTTATTGTTTTAAAGGGGCATAATTTGCAAAATATTAAAAACATCTAATTTTGGATTTGCTCGAGCGGGCCCAGTAACGTCTCCATTGGAGACTTTGTTGTTACTGTGTCTGGCATATCGAATACTCTCGGTAGCTTGCCGGGCTCTCCGAGAGGGGCGGAGGAATCGAACTCGGGTCGGCCATGTTGGCCGCTTGTAAGGCGAACGCCCTACCCGCTGTGCTATCGCTCCAGCTGGAGCGATAGCACAGCGGGTAGGGCGTTCGCCTTGCACGCGGCCAACATGGCCGACCCGAGTTCGATTCCTCCGCCCCTCTCGGAGAGCCCGGCAAGCTACCGAGAGTATTCGATATGCCAGACACAGTAACAACAAAGTCTCCAATGGAGACGTTACTGGGCCCGCTCGAGCAAATCGACGATCAACGGGAGGGCCTTTACCTTACCTTACCTTAATTTTGGATATTTATCAAATAAAGCAAACATTTTCCTACCTTAACTCACTTATCTGAGTAGCTACAGAATCAGGGTAAAATTAAGTAATCAGAAGCACTCTGAGGTCACATCTCTAAAAGTGTTACTCATCTGAACTCTGTAACATCCTCTCACTCAAATTCTTTACCGAACAAGTCCATTCTCAGTACTTAGAGATCATAAAAGCCAAGATTCAGAAATAGAAATCTAATATAAAACTATGGAGAACAATGTTTTATTCTTATTCATCACCCGATGACTGCAATGATATTAAATTTCTTTTCACTGCACAAAAGGACCATTTCTGATCTTCATACATACCTTTTGAGGACATCATTCACATTCTAGGGAGAAAAGAGAAAATATGAGTCTAGAAATAATAAGCTCATTCCACTTATAGGGCTTCATTACATTTTCACTACTGTTTCATGAAGTAGAACAGATCCAGTGACCTAACTCTTAGTTCATGAAGGAAATAAAATATTAACAGAATTATAGGGATAGGAGAGAAGACTTTCTTACAGAATTAAAACAAAAATTTCTAAGGCTGCACAGCATTGGCTTTTGTTGGGTCAGGGGTCCATATTTGGAGCTGGAAGGAGGGGCTGGAAAGATAGTACAGCAAGTAAGGTGCTTGCCTTGCATTCAGTGAACCTGAGTTCCATCCAATTGCCAGCATACCCTATGGTGCCCAGTGCATTGCCAGGAGAAATTCCTGAGTGCAGAGCCAGGAATGACCCCTGAGCATCACTGAGCATGGCCCCAAATCACAAAACAAAGCAAACAAAAGGGGCCATAGGGATCAGCGTTTGCCTTCCATAGAGCTGACCCATGTTTGATTTCTAACACCACAAATGTGTATGGTCTCCTGGACCCTACCAGGAGTGATTCCTTGCAGAGCCAGGAGTAAATCCTGAACACTGCCAAGTTTGGCCTAAAAACCAAGCAAACAATCAAAAACACAAGGTTCATATTAATAGTAGCACCTTGCCAAATCAGTGATGAAGTGGGTTTTTCTAGAATTAATTCAGTATCGATATGAAGTAGACCATGATAAGAAAGGTAATGTTATCATTAGAGAAAAACTAGGAAAAATTAAAAAGCTATATTGGATATTTGAAAAAGTTAAAAATTTATTCTTGAAATATTTGTTTTGAAGACATAGTAGTGCTTATCAAACAGATGACCTAACTGACATAAATTAACCATTTCACTTAATTCATTCAAAACACACATCTTCCAGAGTGAATGTAGAAAAACACTCAGGAAAAACAATATTTTAGTATAATAAGGAAAAATATATTTAAATATATATATATATGTGTGTGTGTGTGTGTGTGTGTGTGTGTGTGTGTGCATGTGTAGCACTGTCCTGTAGCACTGTCCTTCCTTGTTCATTGCTTTGCTCAAGCGGGCACCAGTAACGTCACCACTATGAGACTTGTTGTTACTGTTTTTGGCATATAGAATACACCACGGGGAGCTTGCCAGGCTCTGCCATGCAGGCAGGATACTCTCGGTAGCTTGCCAGGCTCTCCAAGAAGGATGGAGGAATTGAACCTGGGTCAGCCGCATGCAAGGCAAACACCTTACCCGCTGTGCTATAGCTCCAGCCCATTACTATATATTTATAGTAATATATATGGTCTCTCATTAGAAATAAATTAATTTTAAAATCTATAGTAAATAAAGTAGTAAATTACCAAGAAGTTGTTTACATTAGACAACTTGCTTTAAAAATAACTTATAAGTCAAGTATTGGTAAAGGGAAATGTGTTTGATATTTACATGACTGAGACCTAAACCCGAAAGCTCTGTAACTTTTCCCACAGTGATTCAATAAAGAAATAAATTATAAAAAAAGAAATAGAAATTGAGAGAGAAACAAAGACAGAGAAAGAAATAACCAAATATATATTGGTGGTATTGAGGAGATACTACTTATTTTATCCTTGTGAGTCACTCTTGGTTGTGCTCAGCAGACCATAGATGGCACATGGAGTGAAATTGGGGTGGACGTCATGCAACATTAACACCAATACCCCTGTATTATCGTTCTGGTATCCTAGACAGATAATTTTTAAAGGAATTTGATTTTTATTTTAAACCCTATAACGTTTGAAACTCACAGGACAAATTAGTGCATGAAAATTGAATAAGCGTTGATATGATCTCAAAAATCTCCATGATATTCTTGCCTGTTTGAGTTTAAGTATACTTTTATATGTGGCAACCTTGAGTAAAATTTGAGCCTAGGAAATAGTAATTTCTTATTTTAGGAATTTCAGCTTATTCTAAGTCCCATGCATAGTATGAAAAGAAATATATTTTATTTAAGCAGAGATTATACTAATGTTTGACAAACAACTAAACCTCAAGCTAAGTCGACAAAAAAATTAAATTATGCTTATATTGTTGAAATGTTGAATGTTTTGGGACTTAAAAAGTAGATTAGGATAGTTAAGTTATTTACTTTCCATGTGGACAATCTCAATTCAACCCTTGGCAACACATATGTTCCCCCAAACTCCACCAATTCTGATCCCTGAGTTTTCAAAGTTATTTTCATGAAAGAATTAAAGCAATGTACATCATAATAAATATTATGTTACATTCTTTTGTTATTAAGATATAAATCTTAAAAGGTAAATAAAAAAGTAGTTTTAATAAAACAAAAAAAACTTATAAGTCAAAATATTTTCAGAATATGAAATTATGCTAGGCTAAATGAAATCACTGAGTAAGGACCACAGTTATAACAGTGCATGGTATCATTAAATACTTATCTTAGAAAAAAATCCTCAAAAAAGTTTTTCAAGTTTCTAATTCAGAAAAAGTAAAGGAACAATAGTAGTATCCAATCATATTTACATACACAAAAAATAATGATAATCCAGAAATAAATAACATAAATATGTTTAAAAAACCTTAGAACCGGGGGGGTTGGTGCCGCCAGCTGGTCAATCTGTACCTGTAAGGCGAGTGCATCAGCAGCCTCATGGCACCGTCAGACTTTCAGATACCCCAAAATTGCTGTTGTGACTTTGGCCAGACCCCAAAAACTTGGGGCAAAGTTTACCAAGAAAGTAAACGGCCAAAAGTTAGGTCTGTGGGAGACACACCCACAAACCACCTCTGGCACAGCTATATAATTGGAGGCATGGCCTCTCTGGTTCCTGATTGAACTGCTTAACAGCCATGATCCCAGAGACTCAGAAACAAATCTCGGAACCCAATGGCTTTTGGCAGAAATGCGTCCTGTTCCTGCAGTAGGTTGCTGGTGCTGGGCTAACCCAGGTGGAAATAGGTTTCGTGCTTTGGCCTGTTCCTCCTGGTGGTCCAGTGACCACCATCCTCCAGAGGCCATTGGACAGTCAGGTTTGGGCCTGCAGTGACAAGACACGCGGGGTCTCCCAGATGGGGGTGGAACCAGTCCTTTCCTCCCCATCTCAATGAGACCCCAAGTCACCGTCTACAAACGGCCTCTCTGGCTCCTGATCAAGCAGATTAACGGCCATGATCCCAGAGACTCAGAAACAAATCACGAAACCCAGCGGCTTTTGGCAGAAATGCATCTGGACTGCATACAAGGTGGTCACCGCCTCAAAAATTATTGGAAAGCCAGGTATTAGCCAGCGGTGACAGGGCAACTGCAGTCTCATGGGAAGGGGGACAATACCGGCTCGTCCTTCATTGCCCTACCGAGCTCATGAGTTGCCCCCTATGAGCAGCTCTCTCGCACAGCCAAGGCTACAGAGGCAAAATAACTTAATCCAGAGCCCGGCAACTTGCCGCAGAAAAGTGCATGGACCATGTGTTAAACTATGGTGCCATACCTCCCCAGTAGGGAAAGGGTGTTGGTCCCTTCCTCCTTCCCCCCGCCACCACCCCTGGCAGAAAGGTGGCCACCGCCTCAGAGCTTATTGGAAAGCCAGGTATGAGCCAGCAGTGACGGGGCAACTGCAGTCTCATGGGAAGGGGGGCAGTACCGGCTCATCCTTCACTCCCTACTGAGGTCATGAGTTACCCCCCACAAGCGGTTCTCCAGCATGGCCATGGCTCCAGAGGCAAAAGAACTTCGTCCAGAGCCCAACAGCTTGTGGCAGAAAAGTGAATGGGCCAGGTGTTAAACTACAGCACCATGCCTCCCTGGGAGGGAATGGGTGTTGCTCCCTTCCACCTTTGCCCCCACCCCCGAAGGCAGCAAGGTGGCTGCTGCCTCAGAGCTTATTGGAAAGCCAGGTGTGAGCCAACGGTGACGAGGCAACTGCAGTCTCATGGGAAGGGGGGCGGTACCAGCTTGTCCTTCAATCCCTTCTGAGGTCACAAGTTACCCCCACGAGTGGCTCTCTGGCACGGCCATAACACCAGACACACAGAAACCAATCTCGTAATTATCGGCTCTGCAGAAAACCAAAATCATTATATGACATTATATGATTCTCATAACCAGCTATAGAAAACAAAGTATTTCACAATGCCTTTTCAGCAATCCTGATTGTTGGGGGGGTGGGGGAATTTTAAACAATAATGGTGCATCTTTTGTCGAAATAATGAATGTAATCAATGTAGAGAAGTGTTAAGTAGAAATTATCTGCCTCACAGGAATTGCGAGGGCTGGGAGGGGGGTATATTGGGTTTCTTGGTGGTGAAAAATGAGTACTGGTGAAGGGAAAGGTGTTTGATCATTGTGTGACCGAGACCTAAACCTGAAAGCTTTGTAACTTTTCCCACAGTGATTCAATAAATAAATATAAGAAAGAAAATAAATAAATAAAAATATGAAAAAAAAGTAAGGTGGAGTTCATGCCCAGTTCAATTTGCTAATCAGTAGCTGAATAAATAGCAGTACTCCTACATGGAAAAAAAATAAAAAGCCTTAGAACAAGGTTTGTTTGGGGGCTGAAGTGAGAATACAGAGAGTAAAGCACCACTAGGAGTAATTCCTGAGTGCAGAGCCAGGAGGAACACTTGAGCATCACCCAGTGTGGTCCTCAAACAACAACAACAAAAAGGAGTGTTCTTGAAAAAAACCAATGAAGTTGATGAAAAAAACTATGTCAAGAGATAGAAAAAAAATTAATCACCCAGAGGGTTGGAGCAATAGCAGAGCCAATAGAGCTCAACAGAAAAAGACAAACAAACAAGCAAAATTGGACTCCCAAATAAAAAGTCGATTATTAAGCCTGTTTTGTTTTTTTCTTTTTGTCTTTTTGCCTTTTGCTTTTTTTCCTGATATTTGGCCCTCACCCAGTGATAATGAGGGCTTACTCCTGGCTCTGCTCAGAATCATTCCTAATGATGCACAAAGGATTGATTATACGTAGTGCTGCTGGAGAACAGACACATTTAGATGTACATGTGTAAAAGCAAGAACCTCACTCATTGAACTATCTCTGTGGTTCTATTAACTGAGGGTTCTGTATAAATTAATGATGTAATAAGGAATTTTAAGAAAAATTTTATTTCTAAGGTAGCTAAACAAATTCCTACAAAGATAATACAGATAAAAATAAACTCACAAACAGTAAAAAAGTATAAACCTGATACAAGTAAAAATGAAAATATATCATTAAACATTAATAAAAGAACCCTGAGATAGCTAAATGCTAAATTATACTGAATAAAGAAAACGAAATACTGCCATTCATAAATTATTTTTAGAAAACAAGAAAGAGTGAAGAATTCTATCTCTGCAAAAAGAAAAACACTTAGAATACGAAATGTATTTGCTGATGGCAAATGCTGGAAAATGTTTATATGGTAATTGCTTTACACTACTGGTTCCCAGGTGACAGAAATCTACAGAGTACCTAAACACACTGGTCTGAGGTCTAGTTTTTGCCCTGCACTGGGTAACAATATAAATGAGATTTTTTTCTTATTACTCAGGCTTTTAACAGTCAGTTTCAATAGCCTTTGAAATAAATGCAGGGAAGTTGTACTGCAGGGACAAAGAATCTTAGTGTCACAGCACAGAAATAAAGAAGAGAAGGGAAAAAAAGGTTCTCATTCCTCTCAAATCTCAGGGTCTGGGGCTGCTTCCCAAGTCTTACATGCAGCATCTCCTTCGCAGATGCCTGAAGTTTGTGCTCCAGATCTGAGATGAGACCACTTGTGAACTGGCTCTGTTGAATCAGCTCCTTCTTGGACTCTAACAAGTCATGGAAAATTTTTTTCTTCTCTTCCCTCAGCTTTTGCAGCTCCTTTTGTTCCTTCAAATCCATGATATCTCTTATTTCTTTAAATGCTTTCTGGACACTTTGAATCTCCTTTTCTATTTGATTCTTAAAGAATGAGAAAGAAACAAAGGTACTCAGGAGATAAGGCAGAGACTGGAAGCCAGAGAAGCTACTTGAAAAGTTCTCTAAAGAAATTAAAACAAAAGGAACCATTCTTTAAGATAAGAGACTTTTCAGATTACTTCCCCATATCAGAGTCAAAAACAATGGCCTCAGATCTATAATACTGAGGTCAATCCTGAGCCAAAAAGCAGTACCAGGGTGTTATTCAGTTTATACCTGCTAGCCTGGATAATTTATTTCCTGAAATTAGATCCCATTTTCTTGATAAATTTCATATAGAAGACTAAACCAGGAGATGTAAGTAGAGCATTTTCTCCAGAAATGTTGATTTATAAAACATAATTGAACTGGGTTTGATCCGCAGCATCTAGTGGTCCCCAGAGCACTGCCAGGTGTTATAGTTACACAGTCAGTAATAACACCCAAGTATTACTGGGTGTGGCCCAGAAATCACTGTCACTGTCCTCCCGTTGTTCATCGATTTGCTCGAGCGGGCCCAGTAACAAGTCTCTCCATCGTGAGACTTGTTGTTACTGTGTTTGGCATATTGAATACGTCACGGGTAGTTTGCAAGGCTTTGCCATGCAGGCGAAATACTCTCGGGAGCTTGCCGGGCTCTCGGAGAAGGACGAAGGAATCGAACTCCGGTCAGCCATATTGGCTGCGTGCAAGGCAAACGCCCTACCAGCTGTGCTATTGCTCCAGCCCAGCCCAGAAATAAATTTTAAAAATGATGAGAATGTCACAGGGACTTCCCTAATGATGTTCACTAGTGACTCCCTCTATAGACTTCTAAAAAACAGAATCACTTTCCAACCCTTACCTCTATCAGGGAAAGTACTAAGAACGGATAGTCAAATGCCCTTTGGGCCTATTAATAATGAAGAAAAATAAGAAAGGAACTCACACTTCCTAAAACTCAAGTTTTACATTTGTCTGGGCTGGAGCCATAGCACAGTGGTAGGGCGTTTGCCTTACAAGCGGCCAACATGGCCAACCAGAGTTCGATTCCTCCACCCCTCTCAGAGAGCCCAGCAAGCTACCGAGAGTATCTCGCCCAAGCGGCAGAGCCTGGCAAGCTACCCGTGATGTATTCGATGTGCCAAACACAGTAACAACAATGATGGAGACGTTACTGGGCCTGCTCGAGCAAATTGATGAACAACGGGAGAACCGTGACATTTGTCTGATTTCCTCGAAAAGTTTCTCCTCTACCAAGAAATTGAGTCTTACACCTCAGGAAGTTTCTCTACCTGCCAGGAAGTACTGTGTTCTCTGAGAGCAGTTTCAAATTCTTCAGCTTTCTGCTGCTTCTTTCTGAGTTGTTCTAGAGATGCCTGGAGCTTTTCCTGTAGAAAAGAAATCAAAAGTTGACTTAAGCCTTGGGATTTCTCACTATATGAATATGAGGTAAATGAGGAAGAAATAATGCAATCATCTGAGAAATTAAGAGTTTTTGAAGTTCTAAAGAAAAGTAATTAGAATCTATGACTGGACAGAAAGCTCAAAATAGTGAAATATGTGAAGATTTAAGTAGAATTACCGGTCACCATCTGTCCCCAAGAGAATAATTTCTCTTTTTTACAAGATAAATCTTCTCCTGCAGTAAGAGAAGAATTTACATCCTAATTCACCTGTCTCCCACTTCTTTTATTCACAAAGGTGTTAAGATCTTTTCTGAAGCACCCAATGTCACCTATCTAGGAAAAATTTCAAACTTCTGGCTAAGTCTCTATTGTAGGCTAATCTTTTTGTAACTGGAATGCACAAACATGTTCTCTAGACATCAGAGACTGAGCACAAAAAAAAACAAACTACAGGACTCTGAGCTCTCCTGCCAAGGTAATCAGTCCCACGTTTTGTTCTGCCCTTCCATCTGGTCTCTACCTTGCATTCCTCGGCTGCCTCCCCAATGAGGAGCGTGTGGTGACCACGGTGTTCCTGAGACCGTTCACACAGCCAGCAAATGAACATCCAGTCCTCCTTACAGAAGAGCAGCAACTTCTCTCCATGCTGCTCACAAAGATCCTTCTTCTCTTCCTCCTCTTGGCTTAAATTGACCCCTCTGAGCCTCTCTACTAAATTGGTCAGATGCCGATTAGGCCTCATGTTCTCAGGATCATAAATGGTTCTGCATACAGGACAGCTGTTCTTCCCTGCTTGACTTGACTCCTGGCTGCTCGCAGTGATGCAAGCTTGGCAAAAGCTGTGGCCGCAGCCCAGGCTCAATGGTTCTCTCAGGAGTTCCAGGCAAATGGGGCAGGTTATGTCTTCCTGTAAGTTTCTCAGGATTTCTGTAGCCATGGCTGCTGCTCCTCTGCTCATAGTTACTCTGACTTAGGAGGATCTTTTCTTCACAGTTCCCTGCAAAATTAGGAAGTTGAATGGGGCAGAGTCATAAGGGTAAGCATAAAATATTTTGATATCTAATATTATGTAGATGTCAAAATCAGGCAAAAAAGAAACAAAGAGAAAAAAAAGGAGAGAAACAAGTGAAAGGCTTGAAGACCTCACAGAAATCACTTCTCATAAAAATTTCACTTAATCTTCAGTTCATACCACACAATAAGTCCCATTCTTAACTGTTTAAGTACTTAATTTTCTTTGTTCTTACTGAGCAAAAGGACAAACCAAGATTTTTTTTTCTACCAAGACCATGTGAGAACTTTATCTATCCCTTTTACTTTTCCCTTCGGATGCTCCAGTTAACCCTCAATATTAAAAGAACCCAATCACTTCAATATGGGATTTTATATCTATTCCTCTTCAAGCAAAGATTATTGTTGCTGATATACAATGACTCATTTTTGTATTTCAGTAGACTCTCTTCTTATATGTTCTCTTATTTGAAAAACTACTGTAACTGATCTACTCTGTAATCATTGCTATTAATACTATACATCTGTAATGATTTTTCTTAACATCATGACACGTTGAGAATATAATGGTAGAAGCAAATCTTTTCATCAGAAGTGTAAGTACAGATAAGAATGACATATAGGGCCAGAAAAAAATGATACAGGCGCTTGTCAATTAGGGTTAAATCCCTGACATTCCATAGTCTACCAGCACCTCCAGATGTGATCCCTGAGCCATGAATAAACCTTGAGCACTGAGTGTGGCCCCCAAACCAAAATGAAACAAAAGCTGATATACAATTTCATGAAATAGATCTTCAAAACACAGAATTGAAAACTGGAGTGAAGTAATTTATTTTTTTAAATTTTTATTAGTGAGACACCATGAGGTACAGTTGTAGACTTACAAATTTTTGTGCTTTGGTTTCAATTATATAATGATCAAAGACCCATCCCTCCACCAGTGCCCATTTCCCACCACCACGGATCCCAGTATCCCTCCCGCCCCCATCCCTCCCATCCCACCCTGCCTCTGTGGCATGGCATTCCTTTTTGTTCTCTCTCTCCTATTGGGTGTTGTGGTTTGCAAAAGAAGCAATGGGTGGCAATCATGTTTAGTCTATAGTCTACTTTCAGCATGCTTCTCTCATCCTGGGAGGATCCTCCCAACACCCTTTATTTGGTGCTCCCTTCTCTATCTGAGCTCCCTTTTCCCTAGCATATGTGTCTGGCCTCCAAGCCATGGAGTAAAATTCCTGGTACTAATCTCGGCCATTCTACAGTGTTAGTCGAAGAAATTTATTTGGGTATCTCCTAATAGAGGGCTGTCCCCTGCTTCACAAACAGAATCGAAGAAAACATATAAATCAAGAACCCAACTAACTCAATTAATACTGTTTATTAACCCAATTAATATTGTTGAAAAAATAATCTGACTGAAATTTGAGTCATTGACTCTAAGGTCTGCTGAACTATAACTCATGATCTAATTTCCAGCCTATTCTGTATTTTCTTTGTTAGTGTAGATAATCTACGTAATAAGATTCTCTAGCTTCTCCCTAAGTCTTTTATCCAGAACAATCTTTTCTTTTGCTATCATTTTACACAATATTTCAGAATGTTTTTACTATGTGGGCCATGCACCAGACTTGTGAATAACTTGGTTTAACAAGAGGCCTGAGTACAAGAACTAAGTGTCTTGTCGTGTATTTGGCTGACCCCTGTTCAATTCCTGGCACTACAAAGAGATTATCCCTGGAGTATCAGTAGGAGTAATCCCTGAGTAACAAAGCCAAGAGTGAACCTTAAGTATTGCTAGGTATGACTCAATTTCCCCTTTACCCCCACCCAAAAAAAATTAATCCAAAACAACTAGATCTATTTCTTTTCAGTTGAATGTTGTGTCGTGACAATATCCAGAACATTAGGGATGTGGAAGTGAAGAGAACAAGACTAGCTGATGGTTCCTAGGGAATTTAAGTACTTGGGATACTAAACTTCACCTTGAGTTGGAAATGTACTGAGAACTACACAATGCATACTTATGTGTGTAGGTGTGAATGTGTTGGGTACTAGAAAGGTAAAAGGCATACATTTACTCATTATGATCAGGTAGTGTCACAAAAAATGTCAAGTTTTAAAACTATATCATGATGACAGTGGACTAATATTCAAAATCATGAGTCTAAGTAATATTTAAGTCACTTAAGAGTCTACCATTAATGTAAAAAGTGGTAGAAAATTAAATAATTCTATGCATATAAAATAACAGATAAATTATGAGAGCAGAATATAGGATCAGAAAGATAATATATGGGACCAGAAAGATAGTTTAGCTGGCAAGGTGCTTGCCTTACATTGAGTCTGACCTAGGTTTAATCTTGAGCACCCCATATAGTCCCCTGAGCTCCATCAGGAGTGAGTCCTGAGTCACAGAGACAGAAGTAAACTCTGAGCACTACAGGTTGTGGCCAAAAACCAAACTAAACAAAGAAAAGAAAATTAAACAAATTTAAAGAAGATACCTAAGAAATGTGGAACTGAAAGGAGAAAAGTAGTTATCCAAATAATACATTATGAACTGGGGCTTATGCATATCTACCTTATACAACTTCTTAGTAACCTGGATTTAGACCAATGCCATTAAACTAGCCTAAAACTGGATGGCTACATGCAAAAAAGTGGGCTCAGATATCTGCCTAACACCATGTACAAAAGTAAGGTCAAAATGGATTAAAGACCCCAACATCAGACCAGAATCTATAAGGTAAATCTATAAGACAAAGTTGGAAAAACCGTCCATGAAATTGAAGCTAATGGTATCTTCAAAGATGTCACGCCACTGGCCAAGAAAGTGAAAACAGAGATTGACAAGTGGAACTATCTTAAACTAAGAAGTTTCTGCACCTCAAAAGAAACAGTGACCAAAATACAAAGACAGTCTACAGAATGGGAAAAAATATTCTCCAAATACACATCCGACAAGGGGTTGATATCAAGGATATACAAGATACTGGTTGAACTCCACAAGAAGAAAACATCCAACCCCATCAAAAAATGGGGCAATGAAATGAACAGAAATTTTCTCAAAGAAGAAATCCGAATGGCTAAAAGGCACATGAAAAAATACTCTACATCATTAATCATAAGGGAGATGCAGATCAAAACAACAATGAGATATCATTTCACACCACAGAGACTGCCCACATCCACAAGAACAAAAGCAACCAGTGCTGGTGCGGATGTGGCAAGAAAGGGACCCTCCTTCACTGCTGGTGGAAATGCCGACTGGTTCAGCCCATTTGAAAAGAGTATGGACGATTCTCAAAAAATTAGAAATTGAGCTCCCATTTGACCCAGCAATACCACTCCTGGGAATATATCCCAGAGAGGCAAAAAAGTATAATCAAAGTGACATCCGCACTTGTTTGTTTATTGCAGCCCTCTTTACAATAGCCAGAATCTGGAAAAAACCTGAGTGCCCGAGAACAGATAACTGGTTAAAGAAACTTTGGTACATTGACAAAATGGAGTACTATGTAGGTGTTAGAAAAGAGGAAGTTATGAAATTTACATACAAGTGGTACTACATGGAAAGTATCATGTTAATCGAAATGAGTCAGAAAGAGAGAGATAGACATGGAAAGATTGCATTCATCTGGGGAACATAAAGTAACAAAATAGGAGACTAACACCCAAGAATGGCCGAGGTTAGTACCAGAAATTTTACTCCATGGCTTGGAGGCCAGCCACGCATGCTAGAGGAAAAGGCAGCTCAGATAAGAAGGGAGCACCAAATAAAGGGTATTGGGAAGATCCTCCCAGGATGGGAGAAGCGTGCTGAAAGTAGACTATATACTAAACATGATTGCCACTAATTGCCACTTTTGCAAACCACAACACCCAAAAGGAGAGAGAGAACAAAAGGGAATGCCGTGCCACAGAGGCAGGGTGGGATGGGGGGGATGGGGGCGGGAGGGATACTGGGATCCTTGGTGGTGGGAAACGGGCACTGGTGGAGGGATGGGTCTTTGATCATTATATAATTGAAACCAAAGCACAAAAATTTGTAAGTCTACAACTGTACCTCATGGTGTCTCACTAATAAAAATTTTTTAAAAAATCAAAAGGGCATTTAAATGTCTACAAAAACCTCTAATTTTATTTGTTTATTTACTTGCTTGCTTTTTGGGTCACACCCAGTAATGCGCAGGGGTTACTCTTGGTTCATGCACTCAGGAATTATTCCTGGCCGTGCTTGGGGTACCATGTGGGATGCTAGAAATCAAACTCCGATTGGCCCCATGGAAGGCAAATGCCCTACCCGCTGTGCTATCATTCCAGCCCCCAAGCCCCTAATTTTAGTGTCGTCTTATAATATTTCTTCCTCACTTGAAGAGCTCCTTCTCATTTCTCTTCTATTTTCTAATAAACTACTTTCGAGATCTGAGTCTAAGCATCTTTATTATTCAATATTTTCACTTTTGAAAATATCGAAGATCCTGGGAATCCCAAATCAACAGAGACCTGCCACCACTGCTTCAGCCTCATCTGCATCATAATCATGTAAATCATTTTTTAGAAAAAAAAATGTGCTCCCACTGTTTAGAAACAGGGTCTGGTAACTATTATATGGTAAAACAGTGGTATTCTAGTTTGGTTTGGGGGAGGACACCCAAACCTGGCTGTGCTCAGAGTTTGATGGGGGAGGGAGAGGCGGGGATTGAACCTGGATTGGCCATGTGCAAAGCAAGTGCCCTACACACTGCACTATTTCTGCAGCCCTAGGAAAACACAGTGTTCTAAACTTGGCGGTTATTTTTCCAATAATACTGGAGAAAAAGCAAAAATGACAACTAAATGCCCAGGTCAGCATGCTGCCATCTGTATTAGGTCATTGTGCACTTTTCATGGATCTTCTAATATTGCAACTTATCAGAAAACAATCTAGAAGTGACAGGTAAAGACAAGCAAAAAGAAAAAAGTGGGGAGCAGCTTGTCCCCATTATTCCTTTCCTCACAAATCCAAATCTTTACTTGTTTAGGTTTGTAGCACTATAGCACTGTAGCCCCGTTGTTCATTGATTTGCTTGAGCAAGCACCAGTAACGTCTCCATTGTGAGACTTGTTGTTACTGTTTTTGGCATATCGAATATGCACATGTGTCACCCACATCTCCCCTCATCTCCCCTCTTGAGATGTGTACATTCATGCTTTCATGTCTAATTCTGAGATGTGTGTAGGGGCTCTCTCCACTCTTAGAAGAGCCCATGTTCTCTCTTGAATGTGTTTCTCTCTCTCTCTCTCTCTCTCTCTCTCTCTCTCTCTCTCTCTCTCTCTCTTTCTCTCTCCCCTACACACCTTAAAACTCTCAAAATAAAATCTATTTCCTTCACTGCCTCCTGAAATTCCTTTCTGCAAGGCAAGACAAAAGCCCAGTAACCCTGGGTCCTGAGTGGCAGAGGCGGAGGGGAAAAAGTGACATTCTTTCTCCTCACCGCTTCACATAAGTCACCTGTGGGGCCCAACGGCATTACTAGACTATCCCCAGTCAGTAGAAACAGCAGAATGCCTTTAGGCAGGCCTTGTTTCCTTACTTTCAGAACAGTTTCCTCTGTCTTCCAGCAGACCTACCCAAGAAAAATCTGTTTTTGTCAAAAGTCTCCCAAGCTCTGCACTCTGAAAACTACTGAGCATACCTCTGGTCCCAACGGAGAAGCTGTGGTCCTTTGGAGAAAAGTGAAGGCCAGATTCACCAGAGAAAGAAGTAGTCAGGATTCACTCGGCTCAAGAATTAATATGAAGTAAAAAATAAGAGATAGTGCAGTCAAAAATGGAACTGCTCACAGTAGCTGGTAAGTGTAAACTGACTCTTCCTCTTTCAGTGCTAAAATTAAAAACTGTGGTCACTCAAGGAAATCCGACGTTCACTTAAGTAAAACTAAAGATTAGAAAGAAAAAAAATTAGAAAAAACCCCTCAAATCCCGCCTCCCCCAGATGGAACCCCAGTGACCAGAAGCCTCTACAACCACAGCTCGAGTATGCGGGAACTAAGACTTTTCCTCAAATCTCCCGGGACTACATCTCCCAGGTAACCTCTGATTCCGGAAGTCACACCACAGCCCGCCCCCCAGCGCCATATTTACAGCATTCAGCCCAAGAGAAGGACAACATGGAGGGCGGAATCCACAGATCCCGAAGGAAAAAAAAAAAAAAAACAGGTTCCAAAAAGAGCCGAGATCATCGGGAAGCCCCAGATGGGGTAGGTACCGCATCCCGCCTCCCCCAGATGGAACCCCGGTGACCAGAAGCCTCTACAACCACAGCTCGAGTATGCGGGAACTAGGACTTTTCCTCAAAACTGCACAGCCGCTTACGCGGCCGCGCGACATCTCTCTATATACAAAGTGATCCATATATACAAAGTAAACCACCCAACGTTTCTCTCTGAAAATCATAGTTAAGTTTGAAGCACAGCCACAGCCCCAGAAACACAAGGACTTAATGCATAACCCAGCAGCTTGGAGCAGAAAAGTGAACGGGCTATGCGTTAATCCAGGCCATCATGACTGTCCAGAGGGGAAAGGGTGTTTCCCCATTCGCCCTCTCCTCTCTGGAAAGAAAGATGGCGGCCACATGGGAGCCTTGTGGACAGCAGGCATGAGCCGGGGGAGTGGGGGCGACTAAAACCTCATGGGAAGGGGGGCGTTCCGGTCCGTCCTTCACACCCTACCGAGGTCACCAGTTGCCCCCCACGAGCGGCTCTCCAGCACGGCCACAGCCCCAGAAGCACAAGGACTTAATGCAGAACCCAGCAGCTTGGAGCAGAAAAGTGAACGGGCTATGCGTTAATCCAGGCCATCAAGTCTGCCAGAGGGGAAAGGGGGTTGCTCCATTTGCCCTCTCTTCTCTGGAAAGAAGGATGGCGGCCGCATGGGAGCCTTGTGGACAGCAGGCATGAGCCGGGGGTGTGGGGGCGACTAAAACCTCATGGGAAGGGGGGCGTTCTGGTCCATCCTTCACGCCCTACCGAGGTCACCAGTTGCCCCCCACTAGCGGCTCTCCAGCACGGCCACAGCCCCAGAAACACAAGGACTTAATGCAGAACCCAGCAGCTTGGAGCAGAAAAGTGAATGGACTATGCGTTAATCCAGGCCATCAGGTCTGTCCAGAGGGGAAAGGGTGTTGCCCCAGTCGCCTTCTCCTCTCTGGAAAGAAAGATGGCGGCCGCATGGGAGCCTTGTGGACAGCAGGTATGAGCCGGGGGACTGGGGGCGACTAAAACCTCATGGGAAGGGGGGCGTTTCGGTCCGCCCTTCACGCCCTACCGAGGCCACCAGTTGCCCCCCACTAGCGGCTCTCCAGCACAGCCACGTCTCCAGTGCACAGAAACCAATATCTTAACTATCTGACTTTCAGTAGAAATACTTCCAGGGTCAATAAGTAAAATAGCAGAAATCCAAAACCAACATTTAATTCTTGAACCCAGCTGTAGAAAGCAAATCACTTCACAATGCTTTTTCAGCATGTCTGATTTGGGGGGGGGGGTAAACTCTAAATAATAGTGGTGAAACTTTTATTGAAACAATGAATCTAATCAAAGCAGATAGAGTGTTAACTAGAATTCATCTGCCCCACAGGGACTAGGAGGGGTGGGGGGTGGGGTTTTATTGGGGTTCTTCATGGTAAAAAATAAGTTTTGGTAAAGGGAAATGTGTTTGATATTTGCATGACTGAGACCTAAACCTGAAAACTTTGTAACCTTTCCCACGGTGATTCAATAAATAAATAAATAAATTTAAAAAAAAAAAGAAAAAGAAAAAGAAAGAAAAAAACCCTCAAGATTAGAACTGCTCACAGTAGCTGGTAAGTGTAAACTGACGCTTCCTCTTTCAGTGCTAAAACTAAAAACTGTGGTCACTCAAGAAAATTCAGTATTCATTAAAGTGAAAGTGAAGATTACAAAGAAAAACTGGGGGCTGAAGAAATAGTTTCGCAGGTAGGGAATTTGCCTTGCACCCAGTTGACCCTAGTTCGATGCCTGGCATCCCATATGGTCCCCCCAACCACCTCCTGGAGTAATTCCTGGGTTCAGAGCTAGGAGTAACCCCTGAGCATCACAACCAGGTGTGACCTAAAAAGCAAAGAAAAAAAAACAGAGAAAGGAAAAGAAAGATTGAAAATTTAATAGTAGATAAGTAAAAGTTATAAAATATAAAAACTGTAAACTGTCCAATACAAAAACAGTGACCAAAAGGGACCAATAGTACATATATATATATATATATATATATATATATATATATATATATTTAGAAAGAGAGAGACAGAGAGAGATTTGGGAATCCTGGCTAATGCAGACAGAGGGTCAGAGACAAATAAAGTAAAGGAAATAGGAGAAGAGGAGAAGTTTATAGGGGTGTACTACAGGGCAAACTCCATGAACCTCTGATAAGGCTGGAGTAGAGCCACGCACTGGGAGAGACTAAAAGGGCTTTTAAGTTTTCTTGGACAGGAAAAGAGAAGAAGGGAACAAAGACCAATGGAACCGGTGTGCATAGTCTTGTTCCCATTATCTGTAGGGGGATTGATCTGGAGGAAGCATGAAATGCAACCTGTTGCTTTCCTGGTCCCAGGTGGAAGTAAGTCCTGTCTTCCTCAATGAGGACAGGGTAATCTTTGATTCCAGAAATGATATTAATATGTATGTGTGTGTGTGTACTGCATAATGTATAGATAATTTAAAGCTATTCTAAAGGATTAAAACAAAACTACTGAAGAATAGGAATTATAAAAACCTGTAAAAGTAGTTAAATTAAATGAGAACTAAAAGGAAAATTTGTATGTTCATTCAAGCAGAAAGCAACATTAAGGTAAAATACCAATACATGATAATAATAAATTAGAATGATCAACCTTATAAATGAAAACAAAAATACTACAATTAACATCTTACCTAATGCACAACTCTCTACAGTTAGGAATATATTAAGAAATACCTCAACACTTAGCAATTATATTATATGGGAAGGAATGGGAGTGAAGATAGATGGTTGGCAAGTACACCACCTCCTCTTTGCTGATGACATCGTTCTAATAACACCAAACATTAGCCAAGCAGCACAAATGCTGGCCGACTTCAACCATGAGTGTACAAAGGTCGGACTACAGCTGAATCCTACAAAGACAATGTTTATGAGAAATAGCCTTGTTCCTTACGTTCCATTTGCTCTCAATGGAACGACCATCTCCGAATGTAACAGTTATGTGTACCTAGGTCGAGAAGTCAACATGATGAATGACCTGGCACCTGAGTTGCACAGGAGGAAGAGAGCAGCTTGGAACACCTTCAAGAGCATCAAAGAAATAGCTAAGAGGACGAAGAACCTCCGGCTCCGGGCACATCTCTTCGATTCCACTGTTCTTCCTGTATTAACATACTCCTCAGAGACCTGGGCCCTACGAAAACAGGATGAGAACGCTATTCAGGGCTCCCAAAGAGGAATCAAAAGAGCTATGCTTGGAGTATCATGTTTCACTCAAATGAGAGAAAGAATCTGGAGTTCCGACCTCCATGGACAGTCAAGAATCAGGGACGCTGTCTCGTTTGCCAAGGCGTCAAAAATCAGATGGGCTGGACATGTAATGAGATTTGGAGATGACCGTTGGACTAGAGCCATTACTGACTGGATTCCAAGGGACATCAAAAGACTGCGTGGCTGCCCACCTACCAGATGGTCAGACTTCTTCATCAAGACTCTCATCGATCAGTTTGAGGCTCTTCATTTTCCTAGAAGGAACAGATGCCATTGGGCTACACTAGCACGCAACGGGGACAAATGGAGATGTTACTGGTGCCCGCTCGAGCATATCGACGATTAACAGGAAGTCAAGTGATCAAGTGATCAAGTGATCTCAACACTCAGCAATTATATTCATTTTTGGGTCCTATATAGATCCTGCCACAAGACTGAAGGTATAAGTATTAGAGTACAGGGGAAAAAAGTCTCTATTTGTAGATGTCATGACAGTTTATATAGAATTCAGATTAAATCTAGAGAAAAAACTACTAGAACTAAAGTTGAGCAAGGTCATAGGACTCATGAAAAATATTGAAAGCTAATTATATTTTATAAATAAGTAGTAAATAATAAGAAAATTATTATTCAGGAACCAAGGATGTAGCTGAAGTAGAAGAGGCCCTGGGTTTAATCATCAGCAACCACGCTGGCAAAGCATCATCACTCGTGAGGTTCCATGAGTAACACAAAAATGATCATTTATTACACAGTTAAAATCAGGTAAAATAAAAGTGTTACAAATAGAATTAACAGAAGCTACATAGTACAAGGGTTAAGACACATGCTTGCCTGCGACTGACCCTGGCCTATTCCTGGTACCACGTGGAGATCCCTGAGCACCACTACAGTGGCCAGGTAACCCTGACATCCCAGGGGTTGTAACAAACAGTTGCAACCTGGAACAAACAGTTCTTTTTCAAGCTCAGCACTGTCTTCACTGAGAAATATCAAGAGATGCCTCTGAGCCTCCTCTCACATTTGGGTGACCGCCCTCAAATTAATATTAACTTTTTACTATAAATCTAAGGTTACCTTCCCTGAGATAACAATATTTTTCTTCCCACCCCCACATTTGTTCTAAGACGTACATAAATCTGGGAGACACAGCAGAGTTGCTATGGGTATGGGAGAAAATGCCAATGTGGCTTTGGACACCAAGAAGAAATTAGGAGTCAGAAATAAT